CTTGGTGACATCTCCATCGAAGTGCGGCAACGTTAACTTCTCCAACTGGATCGGTAAGTGCTGCGACGATGGGGCAGTCTGTGTGGGAGTGAGCTGACGATGTTCCGACTGATGCACAACGTCCAACTGTGTGTTTACACTCTGTAAACGTGCGGCGTTATCCATGGGGGTGCGATCTTCTCGCTGGGGCGTCGTCACAATCCCTGTCGTCTCCATACCGTTATCTTCGCTGATGGAATTGGCGAGTCGATGGATATGGAGGGTCTGAAACTGTTCGCTGTCCGCTTCCTGGGTGTCTTGCAAAGTACGAAGGAGCGCTTCGGTGTCGGCCTGATGTTGATCCACACCGTACTTCTCCTCGAACTTGCTATACGCTTCCTGGTCCGTCGGCGAGTTGGATGTAGTGATGTGATACAGCAACAAGGCACGACGTTCCCTTAGGAGCGAAAGTGCAGCTTTGAGGCCCACTATGTGGTAATGTGCGGCTGTCTGGCGTTGCTGGAGCTGATGGAGTTGCTCGACAGCTGGGGCGTCAGACACTAAAGGAGTAAGTAAGTCTGGACTTACCTGTTTCCTCGCAGCCTGCAGGTCCTCAATAGCCTTGACGACCTTCGGAAGGTAGGACTCCACAGTTGTCACGGTAGCCATGTCGATCGATAATAGAACGTCGAAAGCGTGCAGGAGGCAGTAACTGCTAACCCAAAGTCTGGAAGGTTGTATTTGTAGGGAATGTGTAAAGGAACAGTGACCACTTGACGAAATGGCCACATAAATGGTAAGTACGAGAACACGAGTGAAATTGAAAGAGCGGTGAACAACAACACGAACGCAAACTCCGGATGTGAGTATGGGGCGAAAGTGGCAATAGTAGAGAATGGGCAACGAAACCGCAAGAAACAAAGTAATAGCTAGGTGTACCACAAGATATGCACAAAATGGGGAATGAATGCACAATGCGAGCATAGATGCGCAAAAGGAGAAGATGATTTGGGGCGAGGCTCTCATCAAACCCAACAAACAGGGCTCTTTCGTCGGCCTGATGGCGTGTTTCAAGGCAGACAGAGCTATCCGCGGTCCTCCATGTATGCGAAAAAACCTGGCCATCAGAAGGCACCAGACAGTCCCGGGCAGTAGGCAGGGCGTAGATTGCTGCTGCCACGTCAGGTCTACGGGATCACCCTACTCCCAATCTAAGTGGAACTGTGGGTAGTCGCGTATTCGCGTCAGCCTAGTCGCTACGGAGCTTGCTGATGAAACGAAGGATGAGTCCTCTCATGGAGTACAAGGAGCAGCAAGTATGTGTACACTGTGCAAACATCCCGAATGAGAATTTAGAATTTAGACTGTTAGCTGGGGGACACTAATGTGTAAGGTGTGTATGCGTGGGCTGTGCAGGCAAGGTCCGATCGCAAAAGCCAGACATAGGTTTACTATCCCTATGCCCAACTCCGTCACGATGCACCATGTCGCGGATTGGGCCCCCAGCTCCCCACGTCAGTGGATACGGCTCACCTGCATCGGCGTGTAGGAGCCGGGGACCCTCTCCGTGAAAGGGTTCACGTCACTTGGGGCGGTAGCTAGCCTGCACTAAATGCTATTGTGCCTGCCACACGGCATAACGCCTGACTCTTAGGGGCCCTGAGCTACCAGCTCACCTAGCACTAAATGCAGCCTGGGGCGTTGGCTCCGTTCTCACTACTGACACTTGGGGGTGGCCATCACCACTTGGCACTAGCCGGCATCGTGCCAGTCTTCTCACGGATCTAACCATCTGGACTGTAGATGATGACGACAAAAACATACAACACGATATTACTCGGGGCTGCAGCCGAGCTGCAGTCCACCGCATCGATCAATAACCACAAGTTATCAACTACCCACCATTTATCCTTAACACAGACCCTACACTCAAACACAAGGGAATGAAAACAACCAGCCAGCTGTTAGAAACCTAGGGGCCAGCAATATCGGAAACCCCCCGTGGCGGTGTCGCCGGCGTGTGCCAGGCGCGAGCGCGCACGGGGTTACCTCGACTGCGGGGTTGCCTGTCCTCCATGGCGTGGATGTAGATGACGCGTGAGTTGGGGAAGGCGCTGTATCGATCGATGGCTTGAGACGAAGTTGGAACCCGACCGCTCACGATGGCGACAGCAGTGAAGACTGACTACGTGACTTATTTGAACGCTGCGCAGGTGAGAGAGGTGAGAGGCGGGACAGCGCGAGGACGGCGTTTTGGGACCCTTCGCAACGCGACGGCGGCCTCCTATAAAGGAAGTCGCGAATCCGCGACACCCCCTCCCCCCTGTGCCAACTCCGAGCCCGTAGTTTAAAATTTGCAAGTAATCGATGAATTTGGTAGAAGTAGTAACAAGTTTCCATACTGGAAAACGACAGACACGAAAACACCATCGACCAGAAAAACACCATCGAGGACGTACAGACAGCATCCACCAGCGTACAGACAAGTACACCATTCGGTTTTATATATATAGAAGGATTCAGGGGACTTTCTAAGATTTCGTGACCTCTTTTTGGGGGAGGGGGGGGGGGGGTGTTGTAGATTATCCTAAATAATATACAGTCTGCCTCAATCCTAACCAGGCCAAAATTGGCTTGGCGGGAGTACGCGCAGCGAGGGTTTCGCGCCACTTCTGCGTCTAGCTAGTCTGCTCTCTCCTCAATCTCTTCGCTCTCTGCGACAGCGCGCGTATGCAACGCAATCCCCTAGCGCTACGAGCGCGCAAATTCAGCCGACGGTTCGGCCTGATCCCGATTGGGACAGACTGTAGACCTTTATCACTGTAGATTAGTCATGCATATTATATCCGTACTCAATAGCTTGTCGTTGACATAAGTTATTGTTACTGTTAATGAAACTGTTCAGTGACCACTTAAGCCAACAGGTCACCCCTTCAATGTACTTAAAGGCAGCGTCCGGGCAAAATTTCGCCGCTCATGTTTCTGCCATTCTGGGGCCTTTCCGTGGCCCTGATTACAGTTGTAAAGCCCAAATTGGCCAAAACCCTCAAAATCCCGATTTCTGGGGACCCTATTTTGAGGAGGGGACAAGTTTCGGATTGTTTATCCCCCAGCTCGCCACTTAGAAGGAGCTGCAACTTGGTTGCAGTTGCAATCCATGATCGATCGATGCGTGAGCACACGTCCTCAGGGGTGGTTTGTGATACGTATCACAGGCCCGTATCTCCTTTTAGAAGCCACGTCAGAGGATTGGACCAACGCTGATCGGATATGCATGGGCCCCTCTTTACAACTATGTGCTCATCTGGGTGGATGGTTCTTGCCCGGACGCTGCCTCTAATGATCTACTTGGCGGCGCTTACTTTCATGTAGGCAATTTTCCATTTTATACAATAATGTTAATTGCCAGAAACGAGCAAGGTTATTGTTGATAGTCAGCGGCTGCTTCGCTACTGTCTGACAAACAGTTTGCAAGTAGCGAGAGACCAGTAGGGGGAGGGGATTGCGTTTCTAGCTCCCCCCCCCCCCCGGTACGCCACTGTATGTTACCAAAATGCCGTGTAGTCTCAGAATAAATGGAACGGACATCTAACTTTCTTCCAAAATTCTTATTTTTTTACGCGTAGTTTTATTCGACAACTTATTCTTCATTCCTCAACATGTAACCAACTATTTTGAATCTACACGGTGGCCTAAAAAATGGGCGTTGCGTCATTGAGCGTAATTCTATTAAAATGCTTCAAATTCCAATTTTATTAAGTGCTACAATACCGCCCTCATAACGTGCAAAATCTGTAATTTTCGCGGAAGTCCGCGGCTTCCGGAAATTTCGCGAAATGGGAATTCCGCCTAATCAGAATCACGCAAACTACGCAGCGCCTAACTTCCATCGTAATGAATATATTCTAACGAAAAAAGCATTGTGGCTATACACATCAAAGCAGAGGGAACAGAAATCGATGACAAAGCTCAAAGAGCGAGAAGGAATTCGACTGTAAAACTGTTGTGCGACATCAAAATTCGCCCGAATATCTCAGCTCGAACAAAAGAAATTTAGTAGACGGCAGACCCTATCATAATTACCGTAATAGCATCTGATATGTTATTTGTGTAGATATGTAGATTGAAATCATTACCTAGATCTCTTTTCATCTTTCTAGCTCAAAATTGTGTTTGGTGGATCTGTAGACTGGAACTTAGCTTCAGAAGCAATGAGCTCGAAGAAGTGGGTAATGGTGATCGTTTCATGAATTATTCAGCAAATCCACCACTGCTAAAGCTTAAAAGCTAATTTTGGACTAGTATAGCTTGGTTCGCTACACCCCTTGTCATAAAAATTACCCTGATTACGAAATGAAACAATCCTATAAATATTACCGGCTAATTGAGCTTCTGCTTCATACTTTGTTGTCTCTCACAATGCGAAAACCTAAGACAATGTAATCATTAGAAAAACTTCGAAGAAGAGGGTCCAATTGTGACAAGATCTATGCATCAGGCTAACAGTTTGATACTTTCACATCACTCAGAAAAATTAACCCATCGCGCTGATCTGGAAGCGATGTAACTCTTTAAAATAGAGTAATATCAATCAAAGGCAGTAGATAACATAAAAATTATTAATTTCCTCGTTTGCGCTAGCATACGTAAAGTTGCTTTTATGTGCAACGTGTGACTGTGAGATATTAACTCAAATTGGCTTAGCGCTTTGAGCCTGCTGTAAAATTTAGAGCCATCTGGTTCTGTGAAGTGTGAATATATTTTGCCATTCCCACTCCCAGCTCCCAAAACTGCACAAAAATGTCACTCCCTTGCCTTCAGCTTGTGCAAACATTGCACTTGAACTAATTTACATAATCACATAAAACCTCAATAATCTGCACACTTCACCTTTCAATCCCGCTATAGCAATATTTGCGTGATTTTGCCCTTTACTGCAACACAGTTTACGTAACAGAATATTTTTCAAATTCTTCAATAATAAACGTTCTTTCAAGCAAAACTTTTTTCAGTAATCAGCCATGAACCATTCGCAATGGCATGAATTAGTATGCATTATCTGCTTGAGCATAGCAACTGCCTTGCTTATGACCGGATATGATACTCAGTCATCTATTGTGGAATCAATTCTTTATTCTGTACACATGAGGGAGCCCAAACAAATTGATAAACACGCTGGTTACTACGGGTAAGTTGCGCGGTGATTTGTTGAGCTTGGTTGCCGCGCATTTCTAAAAAAAATCGCACACCAATCTAAATGCTGCTTGTGTGCAAAATCACGCGCATCTTTTGTTTATAAAGTTTCCCAAATCTCATCATTTGCGTCCAATATTTGTTCAAAATAATCAATCCTTCCTTCTTCCATTTCACGACTTGATGAAAATAATAAAATTCTGGAGCCTTCAGAATCTTGTAACCTTGATGAATGCGAATAATTAGCAAGGTCGAAACGTTTATTTTCATACCCAGTCTCATTACTTATTGATGGTCCAGTATTTGGTCAAAATAATTAAACATCCCCTTTCTCATCTCACTATTTGGTGATGTACAGTACCCACACTAATTATTCGACAGAAAACGCAAAAACTGACGATCCGCGTTTTTTTCGTTTTTTCTTCACAACTTCCTTTAGATTGCATAAAATACGAATCCGAAGAAAGCATGATGCTCAGCTCGTCAAGATGAATCTTCTGATATATTGCACTCTCGTACTATTCTGTTTTCAATCTGCTCGATTTTTGTATGGGGACGGGTTTTCGTAGTAGTGTAACTCAGCGAAGAACACACAAGAAAGACTCCAGTAAACACGATTCGGTAGAGCTGTTTCTGTAGATTATCATGCGCTAGCGAATAACAGAGGAACCCTTTTTCAAAGAGAAAGATAGGCCGGTGAATTTTGCAAAAATCGATGTCTCTCAAATTTTAGCTACCGTAAAAATACAGCAAGACGCTAATTTGCAAAGCGGGTGTGTTTTTCGTGATCAGCAGGCTAGGTAACCTCTTTGCGCAAGTTTTCCAAGGAATTCAGAACCTTTTATTTTTTCTCGTTCTAAGCTGTGAAGCTCGCCGACGGGTTTTGGCTAAAATATAGATGATCTTGGATTGACCGGAAACTTCGCCCATAGAGGTTTTCGGACTCGATGATTACGAAAATAGTGCTCTTTGCGCAGGGTAAGTTCTTTTAGCAGGGTTATGCTGAGAGAAATGCTGCGATACTACGCAAGTTCCTAAATTTGTCTGCCGTTTTCGCGCATCTGTTGGACAATTTACCTGCTCCTTTTTGTAATTCGAAATCACTAGAGGCAGTGCTCTCAGAGCATGCTTGAACTAGGCCCTTATCCGTATTGATCGCCGAACTGCGAGCATACGAGTTCGCGTTCTCATGAAAATCGTTCGAAATTTCAAGGTCGCATAATTTGGGCAAATATCTTTGCGACTGATTAAAATCACTCTGATTGCAGATATTATGTTTATGTACATATATAAATTGATAATCTGAATATAGCATACTTGTTTACTCCCCATGTCATCTTACACCTGTAGCTCAAAGTTTGCAAAAAATCCATGGAGTCGGTAAATGTAATTTATTTTTGAAAACTATCATTAATCCGTAGTCAGCACCCTCACTCACCTGCTTGTACCAATTCCCAGCCCGGTAGCTCAAAATTCGCAAAAAATCGTTAAATCTACCAATGACGAAATGTAGTCTACGAGACCAGCTCGGCTCCTAAGGCTAGGTTCTACTGATTCTCATTTTCCGAAACTGTTCCCGCACAGTCCCGCACTGTGCTGGCAACTGTGCGGGAACTGCAACTGTGCTGCATGGACTGCAGCCGCCCCGCACGCGTTTTAAACGGCGGGAGTTGAAGAATTTTGACCGTTTTCAACGGTTTTACTTCCAGAGTTCTCTCAATTTGGCCTTATTCCTCTACCCCGCTCATTTTTTGATCAGCAAAACTTCGAGTCCGAAGCGATGTTGAAGAATGAGTGCTTTACTGCTCTGCGTATACGGCAAAACGTGTGTTCTTGTGCTCGTCCGTTTTCTCTTCGTTTTATTTTTATCAGACATATTCCATTTGTTCCAGAAAGCCCCTGCGTAGTTTCTATAGCCATCTACCATGAATTAGGGAGTGCTAGCAATTCTGAATTTGCATGAATTGGGACTTTCCTCTTGTTTTCTGATGAGTTTCGTTTTTGCGCATTCTCAGCCCCTTTCCTTTTTTCCATATCGTTGCTTCTCCGTTGTTTCTTCTACCCCGCTTCTCCTTGTGATGAGAAAAGTGTGAAATTGAAGCGGGATTGAAGAAATAACCTTGTTCGGTTCCATATCCAAGCAGAATGGTCTTCGCGCGCTTGTCCATTTTCTCTTCCATGTCCAGGCCTACTTCATTTCAATACAGATGCGAGACTACGCAGCGCCATCCTGGAACACATGAAGTAGGCCTGGACATGGAAGAGAAAATGGACAAGCGCGCGAAGACCATTCTGCTTGGATATGGAACCGAACAAGGTTATTTCTTCAATCCCGCTTCAATTTCACACTTTTCTCATCACAAGGAGAAGCGGGGTAGAAGAAACAACGGAGAAGCAACGATATGGAAAAAAGGAAAGGGGCTGAGAATGCGCAAAAACGAAACTCATCAGAAAACAAGAGGAAAGTCCCAATTCATGCAAATTCGGAATTGCTCCTACTCCCTAATTCATGGCAGATGGCTATGGAAACTGCGCAGGGGCTTCCTGGAACAAATGGAATGAGTCTGTGTAAAAATAAAGCGAAGAGAAAATGGACGAGCGCAAGAACACACATTTTGTCTCATACGCAGAACAGAAAAGCGCTCATTCTTCAACCCCTCTTCGAGATCGAAGTTCTGCTGATCAAAAAAAAATGAGCGGGGTAGAGGAATAAGGCCAAAATGAGAGAAATTTGGAAGAAATACCGTTGAAAACGGTCGAAATTCTCCAACTTCCGCCGTTCAAAACGCGTGTGGGGCGGCTGCAGCGCATGCAGCACAGTTGCAGTTCCCGCACAATTCTCAGCACAGCGCGGGAACATTGCGGGACTGTGCGGGAACAGCTCTGGAACGTGGGAATTAGTATGAACCTAGCCTTAGGAGCCGAACTGGTCTGATAGATTACATTTCGTCATCGGTCGATATCGGCTTATCGATTTTTTGCAAACTTTGAATTACAGGTGTAAGAGTTGGCACAAGGGGTAAGCAGCAGTACATAAATTAGCAATTAACATGTGTATATATAAAAATAATATCTGCAATCAGAGTCATCTGTAACCATTCGCGGCGATATTTGGCCAAAATGTGCGATCTTAAAATTTCGAACGATTTTCATGCGGACGTGAGTTCGTCAGCTCACAGTTCGGCGACCAATATAGATAAAGGCCTAGTTTAAGCATGCTCTAAGAGCACTGCCTCTAGTGATTTCAAATTACAAAAAGGAGCAGGTAAGTTGTCCAACAGACACGCGCAAAGGGCAGACAAACTTAGGAACTTGCGTAGTATCGCAGCATTTCTCTCAGCATAACTCTGCCAAAAGAACTTATGCTGCACAGAGGGCACTATTTCTGTAATCAGCGAGTCCGAAAACCTCTATGGGCGAAGTTTCCGGTCAATCCAAGATCATCTATATTTTAGCCAAAACCCGTCGGCGAGCTTCACAGCTTAGAACGAGAAAAAATAAAAGGTTCTGAATTCCTTGGAAAACTTGCGCATAGAGGTTATCTAACCTGCTGATCACGGAAAACACACCTGATTTGCAAATTAGCGTCTTACTGTAGGGTTACGGTAACGAAAATTTGAGAGACATCGATTTGTTCAAAATTAAACGGCCTATCTTTCCCTATGGAAAGGGAATCCTTCGCTATTCACTAATACGTGATAATCTACGGGGACAGCACTACTGACTCATGTTTACTTGAATCGTCCATGTGTGTTCTTCGCTGAGTTACACCACTACGAATACCCGTCCCCATACAAAAATCGAGCAGATTGAAAACAGAATAGTACGAAAGTGCAATATATCAGAAGAATCATCTTGACGAGCTGAGCATCATGCTTTCTTCGGATTTGTATTTTATGCAATTTGAAGGAAGTTATGAAGAAAAAACGAAAAAAACGCGGATCGTCAGTTTTTGCGTTTTCTGTCGAATAATTAGTGTGGGTACTGTATAACATTCTTGAGCCTTCAGCAATCCTGTAACCTTGACGACTGTAAATGATTAACAATATTGAGACAATCAGTTTCACCCACTGGTCTTCATTTCTACTCTCTTGTTTATTTTTGTGGATAGAAGAGGGCGGAGCACATTCTATCACCTATTAAGCATTACTATGTTTCTAATTCAGGAGAAATTTCGATGTGATCATTTTTTGCACACGTTAATATAAATTAGTCGATATCTAACGAAAACTCGCGATTTTGTCATTATTCATTGCATAAAAGATACTAAATTTGAAAATAAGAATCACCGACTTCACATTACTTAAATTCCGGTTAAATAATCTCTGATTCTGAATGAATTAACAGCCTTGTAACAACTTGGCCATTTCAATTGGATGTTAAATTTTGACTAACCTTTCATAAGCGCGATTGCTTGCGAGAGAAATTACGTTTTTAAAGCTAGCCACTCGTTACTTTTAAAATGTCTTGTGACTCCCACGAACACCATTGATGTACCTTCACATCCTGGGCATTAAAGGATTGACCTGATATCAAAAGTTGGCATTTATCAATCGATAAATCTCGTGAACATATCGTAATATCGTAATCACATATGATGATTTGGCTTCATATTCTAGGCAATCAGTTCTCTATGGTTTCTACACCGTGTCCAACTTGTTTGCCCCTTGGGTCTGCTACCGTGTTGGCTCGAAGTGGACCCTATTTCTTGGGAGTTTGATGTTTACCACTTACCAAGCTGGATTTTTCATGCTAAACTCTCATTACTACTATGCCTCACAAGCCCTTATGGGCATCGGCTTTGCACGTGAGCGATATAAAAGAGAAATTCGATCTTTACCGCTAGTAGAAACTTTTACAGTGTACTACTCTGGACAAGGTCTTTATATGTCGGAACACTCGACTAAAAGCACAATCACTAGAAATTCCACTATGATCAGTGCAATAGCGAATTGCAGGTTGGTTGTGCATAATCCTCAGTAAGTGCTGCGAAAATTTTCAGCATGCTAGTTGGAGGAGTTATTTTGTTTATTATTTTTTACATCAAGCAAAAAAGTAATGGAGGTGATGTAAAAGGAGATGGAGATAAGCCAAATTATCGGTATTTTTGAAAATGTGTGAGCTTTTGCTTTGATTTCTTATGACTGATTTTAGTGACTTCACAAATATAGAAATTTATATGATCCATGGTGATTTTTTCTCTTGCTTCAAACATCATATTTTCCACTCTGCCATGGAAAAAATCCAGCGATGTTGAAGAATTTGAAAGTGTTGACAAGACGAAGCTGCAAACCCAAATATGTGAGTTTTCACTCAACTTTTTTCTACAATGAATTATACATTTGTTTAGCGAATCTTCTCGACACCGCGTGGGAGCCCAGAATGTTTTTTCTAACAGCATTTTTTGCCTTTTACGGTTTCCATATCTCGTTTTTGCTTGGAGCTTATCCAGCAACATTTGCTTTTTCGAGACTTCTGTCATCGAATGTTTATTTACCAGCTTACTACAACTTTATGGTGGGATTGGGAGATGTTTTAGGTGAAGTTTGTTGTACCTCAATCTACTGACAATAGGTTTTTGCTTAAAGTTTCTTTTAGGTGGTTTCTATATTGCATTCTTCGACACTCGTTTCTCAAATTTTGGTCTTATACCAACAATGGTCACTGAAATTGTGCTGAGTGTCGTCATGTATATCCTTACAAGTGTATCAACAGCTAATCTTTCTACTATACAAGCTAATGATGATACATCAATGTGGATCACCCCATCGTAAGCTACAGACACCAAGTACAATTTCGCAAGAAGGGGCAAAGCAAAATCTGGACCTTTCCTTACCTCCTCAACTTACAAGGGAAGCTTGTTTAGTCGAAGTGACTTTCTAAATGAAATGTATACCATATGAAAGGCATTAAACGCTGACTCAAAATCTGCCTTCCTTATCTGCAAAGCATTTATGCACGAGAAGTTATGACCGTTTTTCGAAGCTAAAAATTGAATGTGCATTTTGGGTAAAATGAGTTGCTAAAATATTACTAGCCTTCAAATAATGTAACCAAGTGTAATATATCTTTTATTTTAGAGTATTTTCTGAAATAAAGTGCTTTGATGATTGTCATTGCTCCGTTGAAGAGCTAGAAAAAAGTATTACGCTATTTTTGTCCTACTTCCACATTCAATTTTTTGCCCCAATAAGCACTCATAATTCCTCGTCAATAAATGCTCTGTAGATAAGGTAGGCAGCTTTGGAATCAGCAATTTATGCCCTTTAATATGGTGAGTCACATCTAAAAAGGCCACTTGACTAAATGTGCATTCCTTGTTAGTGACTTTACTTTTATTTCAAATATACTGAAGGAAAGCGATCTTCATAGAAACCAAAGTTTCCAAGATTATGTTTTATATTTTGCTTCTTCGGTGACTCGACGTTTCATAGAAACATAAACGATTTTCTTGCGGTCACTCACGTATCTATTAGGCTGCTACATAAGTTCATCCGATTTTTTTTGCCTTATGTTTGAAGCAGCTGTTACGGGAGAATTTCATCTCTAATGCGGTATTGTTAGTATCATTAACGTGCTTTCCTTGCTCTTTCTAATGCAAATCAAATTTCAATAAATTTCTTAGTGTAAAGGATTTCAGGCCCAAAATATTCTAAGTGGCCAAGGTACGTTCTCACCCTAGAAATATGTTTTTGCGAGGAAATCTCCACAATGACCCTTCAAGTCAAGTTCTTTCGTTGGTTGCGGAATAAGGGCATAGAAGGCTAGTATAGTATAGTAGTATACGCAGAAGTCCAGTTCCATGAAGAAAACGTCTTGATAATAAAGTTTATAATCGAACATTACTTTTTTTTGCATAGATGTTTTACAAGCAATAACTTTCTGCGAATAAAAGTAATCGATGAGTTCAAAGTTAGAGGTGCTAAGGTAAAGAAAGAGCTAGCAGGGCTCATCCACCGACAAATTTTTTGGTATGCTTCTCAAAAATTTAGCGGGCCTATAACCCCAAAATTTCAAAAAAGGGGGCGTGGCGTCAGTCAGCCCCGCTAAAAAATTTTTTATAAGGCTAAATTAAATTTTTTAGAATTTTTAAGAATTATTTTATTTATTTGCAAGTACAGACACTTGCACATTTTTATAACCCATATAAGTAACTTTCAAAAATTTCGCGACCCATTCTCGGGGGGGGGGGGCCTTCGGTAAACACTGGTAAATAGGCATGCACACATGCGCTGATATGAAATCAGTGGAACTCTATTGTGATGAGTATCCAAGACTGATAAGACAATTGAAAATCAAACTAATGCGAAGTTAAATGAACCCGAATCGCGACCAGTAGTTTACTGAAAATCCCTTCCTATCAAATAATTTGTCCCTATTAGAAATTGAGATACTGCGCAAAAATAGCACGCTAACATTTTTTATAAATTCATTTTTGATTTCATGATTTAAGTTCTATTTTTTTTTCAGAGTTCCTATTTGTTGCTTCCTTGGACTCTTGCATGGTATGATAGACTGCTGCTCGAGCACCATGCGTGCGCTTATCTGCACGATTGCTATCCCACGTAAACGACTTCAGGCATACTCTTTGGCAAAACTCTACCAGGTAGTTTTGAATGCGGCATCGATTCCGGTTAGAAAAAACTCCATTCTAGTCAGCTGCGTCTTGTCTCGCTTATTTTCTGTCACCACACTTGACTGTACGAGCTTGGATGGTTGCTTTAACAGGTTTGTTTAGGTTTAGTATTACATTAGTTTATATTAGGATTAGTTACCAGATTGTTTTCGAGTTCGTAAAAATTTATAGAACAGCGGTGCCAAAATTTTATTGAAACTTGGTCAATAATCTATAGGCTATATCAGCCGACATCGGTCGTGGGATATCATGAGCTGCGGAAGCGCGCCAGCGAAAATAGTATACGAGCGCGAAAGCTTATGGCGCTTAAATTTCTGGCTGGCTCAACTCATTGCTCCTTTCAACTGTTTCTTGTTCGTACGTACCTTACATCTTCATTCTTGAAGGCAGTGTCCAAGCTAAATCCAACCCCTCCGGCCAACTCCGAATGTAGGCCCAGGAGAGGGACATCTGCGTTGGTCAGGTTCTCTAATGTTGTCTGTGAATGAAGATAATGGGCCTGGAACGCGCTAGTGCTATCAAGCCATGTCCAATTCCTATCAGGCTCTGCCCAACCAGGGACTGCCTCCGACACGTATTGACATGGTAGCGGGTAGAAGCCATGTACACTGCAGTGCAATTGCGTCCGTGCACTTGCAGCTCCTCCTCGCTGGCATAGTGACGGGGACGAGCGATCCGAAACTCATCCGCTCCCTGAAGAGGGGGTCTCAGAAATCGTTCTTTTTTTGGGGGGGGGGGGGGGAAGGGGGGGGGGCAAATTGAACTTCATAACTGTAATCAGGTCACAGAAAAGGCCGAGAATGGCTAAATGGGAGGGGAAATTTTGAGCAGTTTTGTTCGCGAGTGGATTACATATGCACCAGCCAGGGCTCGGCACGAGCTGGCATCAGGGAAATTTCAAAACGAAGTCCCGTTTGATCTTAAAAATTTCGTACGAAGTCCCCTTTGATCTGTTTTGAAGATCATTCATTATTTTTAGATTATGTGAAAGTGTGTAGTAGGGTTTCCATGCATGCTGATTTCGTGAAACAACTTTTCACAGTTTTCTGAGCTTTTTAAGTGGTTGAATCACATCTCGAAAAGCAGAAAAAGCCGATTTTTCTACTGCAGAGCAGACCGAGTAATTTTCGGATGGCTATAAAACGCTGAAAAGAAAACATTATGAAAGGTTTTTCTCTGTATGTAAACTTCTACAGTGTAGATACGTTTTATGTAAAAAAGTATGAAAACTTATGTGAGTAAAGCTGGCACCCAGCTGGCACGGTGCCAGCTAATTCAGAAAAACGTTCAGCACAGCTTTCGTTCACATAAGTTTTCATAAATTTTTTGGGTCATAGTTCGGGTCCCCCAACGCGCATGCACACACCAAATTTGGTGTCATATATTGCGTTTTGGCTGAAAACAACACCTTTATTTGTTTGAAGGACAGCATGCCGCAGGCATGCCGCCGGCATTCTTGCGGTTTTTCTCCGCCAAGGACCCCGGAAAAACGATATCCCCTTTGCATGCCGCCCTAAAAAACGATATCCAGCTCGACCCGGTGCCAGCTGTGCCGAGCCCTGGCATCAGCACTTGCAACTCCCCTTTTTCCTATCGCTAACATAATAGATGATGTTTGGCGACATCATGAAATTCTTTTTAGCAAAAAGATCAAAAGAATAAAAAAGCTAATTGCACATTTTGTATGATAATCTCGAACATGTTATTTCCTGATTTACGATAGTAAACCATACTGTATGTGGTGAAGCATAAGTACCACGTGTGCGTAACGTTTGCGATTCTTAATCTAAAAGTGAATGAGCTTTTTTGAGCTTATACAAGAAACCATACACTTTTTACTCAAATGCTCATAATGCGATGGGCGTGCCATCATCTGATTCATTAGTTAGGACAAAAACTTCGAACGACAATGAATGCTTAGCAAGAGGAAAGAACATGAATACAGCAAGCGAGCGTAAATGCCTAAGTAAAAAGCTAGCTTCTGCGCTCGTCTGCCATTTCCGCCGCATGCGGCGTGCGCGCGCTGCTTATTTCGTGAGATCCTATGATCGGTGGTTGGTGATATAGTAGCTTATATGTCCATTGCTACGCACAGCCTTCTGATGCCTAGCCTCGAACTTTCCGTTTTTCCAAAACTCATCGGTTTTGGTTTCGGAAGGCCGACCAGCTCCTGAGAATGTCTTCAGGATAAAAAAAGCGCCGTTCATATGATTTCTAAGAAAGCGGGCAAGTGATAAACTGGTAGGAGGAGGTTGAGGAGTACACTAGATATTGATAAGTCTCAGTCGAGTCTTGCAGGACACAGTTTTGGCGTTTCCCGTAGGATCATGTTTTGTCATGCAGAAACTCGTCAAACCCTGTTTATTAGGTCTCTTTGCAGTAACAATAGTCTGGAAGATTCAGTCGGATTGCTTTCGTTATAATCGACGTTTGTTTTTTGTGTCCGTGAATTTTCAGTTCAGAATGCCCTGATGAGCGTTACACGAGAAATCATGTTTGGGGCACAGGCCTTTTTATGTACAGTTTTGGAAGCAGTTCAGTCTTTTTTTGTCTCAAGCTGACCTGTAAATGCCATTTACCATAATCGACCAGAAATTTTATGCTGAACCGCTTTTTAAAGAAACAATCAAAGGTGCCAAAGACGCGAGATGGTCAGTCGAAGTGGCCTTTTGCGATGGTTTATATACGATGTTGGAAGGCGTAAAATGGTGACTCCAAATCTGACCTCACTATCTGCTTCGCATTTCTGGATGAGGAGTTATGAGTGTTTGAAGGAGCAAAAAAAATGAATGTTTTTATGGTATAAAAACAATTGCAACAGCAAGCGTGCGGATACATCTCATCTAAGAGTATTCATTTCATAGAGTGCTGGAAAGATTACCACTGGTCCATTTTAGCGCTAGGAAGAATGTTACTACTATTTTTATATTATTGGCACATTCAATTTTTTCTCTAATAAACACTCAAAACTTCTCGTGCAGGAACGCGCCGCAGATAGTAAAGACAGATTGGAGTCAGCGTTTTACGCCCTCCAACTGGTATACAGCCCATTTCAAAAGGCCACTTCGACAAACCATCCTTCCCTCGTTAGAGAGGATAATGCCCTCACATGCAGCCCCGGTGTGCGCTTACCTCATTTGGGCATCTACTTCGTCCGGGACTAGAAAGGAATGTGAAATTCTTGTAATTCAAATAAGTTGGAACATTCTGAACTTCATCTGTTACTTTTAGGAATACAAATCTTCTCCGCGGCTGGTTTCGTCATTGTTGCAAAACAAATCACCAGAGAAGGAATTCTGAAGCAACAAAAATGCTTAGAAAAGTTGAATCAACCCTCCGAGTCATCATAACACCTTCGAGTATACACATAAGATATTACCTGACAAAGCAACATTATGTACACTACATAAAATGCTTTGCTTTGTCATACAATTACAGAAATTTGTTTGTGTTGATAGCCCTTCTTCCAAAGATTACAGCTTGATTTTGATTTCCAAAGAAAAAGATTCAGATTTTAAATGTTGCAATTTGCTCTGCATTTGCAAATTTTTAACATTTGCAAATACGGATAGATACAGAGTAGTCGAGTCAGCCACAAGGAGAACGCATATCTGGAGCAATTTCATATTGCTGATATATCGCCGACAGACCACTAGAGCAGATCTGAGGGAATTGTTTTCCATTAAAGAAGCGGACTGATATTGCGCATATCATATACTGATTGATAACACCGCCTAATCGTTTTAATAAAGGAAACTATCTAACTTAGCTCGGCTTTTTGGTAGGTGACAGCTTCAAATGCTGTACCGACAACACCGACTATGGCATCACGGCATCGTCATATAGGTGCAAATACACTTGCATCAAGCGTCTCTTTTGTGAGAAAAGATTGGGTGTTGTATTGATTGATTGTATTTCAATGATTAGCACCTTTTCTTGCAGATTTTTACCTACAGAACCTTCTCATCTTTAGTAGTATACCAATCCCAACTAGAAAAATCATATTTGAAGTCAGCGTTTGAAGCTAGTTTAAATTATTCATATGTGTCATTTACCAGCAGCCAAGCTAATTGGGATAGCTTTCCTTGTAAGCACCGATTGTATTGAACTACCCCATGTGGCTCTTCTGCCTATCTACCTGCTCCATACGGATCTTGAGCGGAACATGAGCACATCTTAGAGTTGAGTGATTTGATCTCTAGTAAAGCAACATCCAACGACATAAATGGAAGCAGATAAAAAATGCTAGTAGGACGCAAACTTAAATAAGTTCGATGTTTTGAGTTCGGTTAAGACAAAGCGCCAATGAATGAGATTCATTTTGAAGGCGAGAGTGTAGAAAGGGTTCGTAAGCGATCAAGCACTCAGACAATCGCCGGGGGCAGGCGGGCACCGGAAAAATAGATGGCTGATTTCTCGCACCCCGCTCGCGGATTTTTTGCAAAGCAATCAGGACTTTTCGGAGGACCGCTTGCTGAGTCAGCGGATTTTTGAGAGACCGCCTGTTGAATTTTTTTCGCTCTTATCTTTTGCAGATATATTGCTGAATTCCTGAGGAATCGAGAACTCAGCAAGCGGTCTTCCAAAAAGTCCTGATTGCTTTCCAAAAAATCCGCGAGCGGGGTGCGAAAGATCAGCAATCTATTTTTCCGGTGCCCGCCTGCCCCCGGCGATTGTCTGAGCAAGTCCCTAGTTCCTAAAATTCAGTTACAATGTTTCTATGTGAAGGATTCTTCAATTTCCTTTTTATCGCTGTGCTCGATGGTTTCGTTGATTAACTGCAGAGCTCTAGCTGTCATAACAAGCCACTCATTCGAAAGAGCTTTGTCAAACATTGAATTTTCTGAACTTTTTGGTTGTTAATTATATCCTTCTTAGCTTCTTTTCGCCGTAATTTTTTTCATAGTTGAGCTATGGAATTTTGTCTTGAAATTTGGTTCAAATCTTCTTTCATCCATTTAATTTTCGCTTTATTTCGCTTTTGCAGTTTTTTCTTTCAAGTTCTGATTCTCCGCTGCTTTTTTGTTCTGCATATTTATCCTGGCTTTCCTGACGTGGATCCAAAATGAGCCAGTACTTCGCCATTATCGATCGTCACGAAAAACTTCAAAATTCGTACTACTCAGTTCAGCGCTTATTTTCTACCGTCCCGACCTACATACCATTTGATTCCATTGGCTTAACTTCGGAGAGGCGGGGCTTCATGACCTAATTAAGGCTAGGTAATGATTAGAGAGCACTCGCGCGGAAGAGATGCAGGTGTGCCGCCGACGCAAGCGGCCTTAATTTGGTCACAAAGCCTCGCCTTTCTGAAGTTAAACCAGTTGAATCAAATGTTATCTACCCCATATGTGTTTGATGTTATTATATGCTAGCAACCACTTCAAGCCAGCCAGTCACACTGCAGCTTCTTTTTTATGTGCTATTTCCTCATCCTCAAAAATCTATGCATACACTTTTGTATAGACGACTCGCCTTAAACTCAAAACGTTCATCCATACCTCTGAAAATTTCGATACTTGATAGAAACAATATCTACTCCACGTAATGCCCATCTAGATCCACAAAATAGAAATGGATTCTCACGCACTATATTACTCCGTCTCTTTTTACGTTGTCAAATTTCTGATTTTGCATTCTTTTAACATTTATTGCATGCGGCTGTGATACGGAGGAGGCGGAGCGGCGGGAGCTCAAGAAGTCCTAGGTACGCATGGGTTTTGCCATATCGCTTAGTTAGATACTATCCGCAAAAGCGTACCACTCGAGAGTGATGGGTCACATCGTATCATACTCCGTTCTTGAGCTTACATGTAATTTCTCGATGAATGCCTCAGATTAGAGCGTTCGAGATACATATATTGCCTTATGCAGTACAGATTTGTTATGTTTATACCGATCTGAGGTTTTTGAGTGTAATAATTTATTTATTTATTACTTTCTATTATGTAGTGTGGCTGGTTGGTCTGTGTTTCCACTCATTATTTTTTGGTGCACCTCGAGTGTAACAGATAAAGATAAAGATAAAATTACATTGTCGACTACTTGCATATATTAGGTTGGTGCAAAAGTAATGCGCGTTTTTCTAGCTTGCTGTTTTTGCTTTAGGACAACTTTTCTCCATCAAACTTTCTTCTTTGGAAAAACTAAGCATACTATCAAGAAGCTCCTTTCATCCTCTATCCAATGGTGGTTGCAAGGGGCCAGCTTCATTAGTTAGAAAATAATAAAGCTTCACATAACCGCACTCGAAACCAGAATCTCACTGCATTTACTTTTCTAACCAGAAATCAAGCCTAAATGAAGGCCTTCTTTTGAAACTCTAGCTACTGTATTTAATGGAAATTGCATTTTCTGACTGTAAGCGTAAGGTTGGGCCTCCTATTGACAGTTTTTACAAAATGGTGTAGCTGTTCATTACGCAGAAAATCCAAAAACCTCCATATTTTGGGATTTTTAGACCTGCGAAATATGTCCAAAAAGTAAACAACTTTGAATTTTGATTTTTTCCCCTTCGCAAATCCTCCTAGTTTAAACCCTTTTCAACTTCTTTTGTACTACTGGCTTCCGGCTACAATATAGGCTATTATCTATATTAACAAATTTTGAAGAAAGTTGTGAACAGTTAAAGACGAAGTTTCAGAAAAAAAACTTTTTCTGCTTATCAATCCATATTTCTTTGCCCGTTGTGATAGTGTATGGAAAGATGTGCGCTGTATTGCGAATAGTTTGGTGCCTCTAATGTTTTTTGCCGCATTGAAAAACATGGATTTTTTAGAAAGTTATAACACGTCAAAGTGAGAACTCGCAAAACGCGCATTACTTTTGCACCAACCTAATATTATGAGATTACGGCATCCTTCCACAAGTGCACAAGGTTAGCCACAAAAAGAACTCATATTCGATGCAATTTTCTATTGCCGGTATAGCAAACATAAATATTTGTATTATATACGGTGCGAATTCAGTGAAAAAATAAGAGTGACATACCGACCGCTTAGCATAGTGAGCGACTTATTGAGCGTTAACTTCTCAAATAACTCCTGTGCTCCAAGTTTCAGCGAAAAAATATTGAGCCACTCAAGTATTATGCTCACTTTTGGACATGATTAACGTTTTATGTTGAGCTAGCTACCCCTTCTTCAGTGCATGCAAAATAGTGCTACACTACCTATATCCATACTACGAATTCCACTCCAGATACGCCAAACTCAAATTAGGAGTCAGCCAGTATTTTGTCATTTTGCTCTCAATACTTGTGTCTCAGCAACTACTACCGCTTCTGATCCAAATTCTCTTTAAAAAACTGTGAGGTTTAATCCATTGAGTATTTTCTAATCGCTAAGAATTCATATTTGACGAAACTCAGAGTGTGGCACAAGTCCAAGGAATTTGTAGCCACACCTTTTTTTAGGATTGTGCTACACCCCATTAACTGACCCTCAAGCATTCAAAAACCTCTTCACATTACTGAAAACGGCTGGGCTTTCTTCTTTTGTAAAACCATCGCCAAGATGTATTTCAGAAAAAAATCTAGCGGTTTTTTGACTTTGTTTTTGACTTTGACTGTGTTACCATAGATCACGAAGGAAGGCGGCGGAAGCATACTTTTGGGTTAACGGGATTGGCGGCTGGAATGTGACTGCTCTCACTCGCACGCAGTCTGCTTCTCTCTCAAGAGCGTACTCCCTGATCCTTCCCTAGCCTTCATTAAGCTTCGAAGCCCCGCCTTCGAGCCGCCAATCCCGTTGAACGTTGAATGGTGCATCATTCATTCTTTGACCAGGAGATACGAGCATACTTCTTGAACAAGTTCATAAGCGCGTTTCAATGCGCCTCGCTATATTACTACTAAATATGAAAGAACATTTTTCTCGAATTCGCGTTATCATCGAGCTCAAGCATGTTCTTGCACGACTAATAAATCATCTCAAACGCGTTATAACGCGCTGAACTTGTTGATCTGACATACGCAAAACGTGCTCGCGTCTCTTAGGCCCTAGGCATAGTTCATGCGACGAAGTCGTTGCGATTTCGGATCGCGACGTTTGCGCGACTGGAAGCGGCGACTGAGTCGCTCATCGGTCAAAGGCGTGCTATCTCTGAAGCGATTTTATGTACTTGCACTTTATGCAAAAAGACTCGTAAAATGCTGAAAACAGCTGTATTTCAGGCAAGAACATCCCTCACAAAAAGCAGCAAGATGTCCATAAAATCGAAAACACGCTTTATCACACGACGGTCGCCTCGTCGCCGGTTGCAAATGGGGACGCGACTCGCGCCGATTTGGCGAAATCGTGGCGATTTTGCCAAGTGAGCTATGAAAAGCCGAAAAGTGTGTAGCGATCCGGCGCGCCAAACGACCATCATAAATGCGTCGGGACCCACA